GTCCAATTGTACTTGAAAGGAAGTTGTATACTCAGGATTCGGGGTTTAATATACACCTATAATATCTCTTCAATATCATTACTATCCATTTGATTGTTCTCTTTGGATTAAGAGTTTACTGATCTCTCTCTTATTATTCATGTGTTACTGCCTATTTCTTTTTATAGCTCCTGCAGTTTCTGCTTTTGAAAGTTGCTATATTTGGTAGTATAAAATATTAATAGTTTATTATCTTTATCGTAAATACCTTGTTGTTATTGTTAAGTACCACTTATTGTTATTGTTAAGTATCGTAAATACCACTGAGTCAGTTCTGGACCACTGCGACCCTATATAGGGTTTCTGCCAAGCAACTGGTGAGCTTGAACCACTGACTTTATGGTACAAACCAACTTTGCTGCCCAGTGCATTAACCCAAATATCCTTTGTATCCTTTCATGCCTTTTTAGTCTGAATTTAACTTTCATCTATCAGCATAAAATTTCTGACTTCTTTTTCTTTGCATTTGACTGGTATAGTCTTATTCATTTAAAAAAATCTTTCTATTGTACAGTAGCTAAGAATAGGATTTTGCATTGTTGGGGATACATCTTTTAGTATTTAAAATACTTATATGTTTGCTTCACTGATTTCATACTACCTTTATCCTATCCAATAACCTTAGTTTATTTGTTCTAAATAGGAACAATAATCAAAGTAGGTAGCAACCTCCTCTTCTCCATTCCTCTTGCATTCCTAGGATATAATTTGAAGTAATATTATTTTACTTACTCAAAGTAACCAACACACTTGTCCTGCTTACTATAGAGTATTCCTCTTTTCATGATATTTGAGTTGTAATGTTTCAATACAGTATACTGTATTACTTATGACCACCACTTTGTCTCAGGTTTACAAGGAAATGTGTGTGTGTGTGTATCTCACTGTCTCAAACCAGTCATTTTGGTTATTGTAAGAACTCGTTCTCTAGTCGACTCTATAGCAAGGCTCATGGGAACAATATTCCTGAGGTCTTGCAAATGCAGTTTGTTGGAAAGGGGGAAATCAGTCTATTGAGCAGCATATCAACCTTTGCCTGGGTTGCTTAATCAGAAGCCATGGACATTCAAGTCAGATCCAGAAGAGGACATGGAATGAGAAATATCATTGCTGATGCCATGTGGATCTTGGCTGAAAGTGGCAATACCAGTAAGATGTTTACTTGTACTTGACTGCTATGCAAAGATATCAAATGTATGGATCATAAAAAACCATGGCTAACATTGGGAAGAATGGGAATTCCAGAACACTTAATTGTGCTTATGAAGAACCTATATATAGGCCAAGAGTCAGAACAAGGGGATAGTGAATGTTTTAAAATCAGGAAAGGTGTGTGTCAGGGTTATAAACTTTCACCACACTTAGTCAATCTATATGTTAAGCAAAATTCTGAGAAGATGGTTACATGAAGGAGAACATGCCATAAAAATTAGAAGAAGACTCATTAACAACCTGTGACAAATAAGTAAAATCATGATAAATGGAGTTCAGATTGAAGTTGCAAAATACTTCAACTTGACTCTACAATCAATGCTCACTGAAACAGCAATCAAGAAATCAAGTAACGTATTGCACTAGGCAAATCTGCTGAAAAGACTTCAACTTTAAAGTGTTTAAGAGCAAAGAAGTTACTTTCATGACTAAGGTGCACCTTATCAGAGCTATGGTATTTTCAATTACCTTATATGCATACAAATGCTGAACAATGAACAAGGAAGTCTGGGAAAGAATCAATATATTTAAATTATGGTGTTGAAGAAGAAACTGAAATTACCATGAATGAACAAATGCTTTTTGAAGGAAGTATAGTATGGTCCAGGATCAGTCAGTGTTTCGTACTGCTGTGCATATGGTTGTTATGAGTCAGTACTGACTCAATGGCATCTAACAACAACAATAGCTGGATTGCTCCTCAGAAGCGCAAGATAATACAGAAACGGCTACAATCATACATTGACAGACAACTTCCAGAGGTTCAAGCTGGATTCAGAAGAGGCCGTGGAACGAAAGATATCATTGAGGATGTCTGATGGATCTTGGCTGAAACCAGAGAATATCAGAAGGATGTTTACCTATGCTTTATTGACTATGCGAAGGCTTTTGATTGTGTGGATCATGACAAGCTATGGACAACATTGAGAAGTATGAGTATTCCAGAACACTTAATTGT